ATATTTTATATATTTCACAAATACCATATATATAAAATATATAAAAAATGCCATGTAGGTACTCAAATGAAAGCTCTTGATAAGTGTAATGAGCTTATATCTTTAAAAACGTCAATATTTAAGAAATTGTCGTGCAATTTAATAAAAGTCATTACTCAATAAAGCAAAATTTTATTTATTAATAGTTCACATAGTGACTGCAAGGTTGCTAGTGTTTTTATAAAATTAAGTATCGATTTATATATTTTTGAATTTTATTTGATAGTTAATTTTTTAAAAATATTATTTGAAACTTTAATTTTTTAATAGAACTATTTTGTAAAAATTCTATTTGGAAATTTTTATTTTCCCTATATTTTTTTGCTCAAAATACTTGACTATTAAAATTTACACAATGAATTGTGAAAATTCTATTTTATATAACATATCTATTTAACATTTATCCAATTTTTTTACAATAATTCATCCATTGAAAAACAAAATAAAAAATTGTTAAATTTTGTTTAATTATTAGTATCTTTTCTCGGTAATTATACAACAGAATTTATTTATTTTAAATTATGATTTTTAAAGCAATATTAATTAATTAATATCCACATAAAAAACAAACAAAAATTCTTGTATATTTAAAAAAATTAGTTTTTCATGTCAATCAAACATTGAAGTCTTTTTAATAAAACTAAAAAATTTAATTTAAGTTAAAGTTTAAAAAATTTTTTAAATATTTTTTTATAAAAAAAAAACTAGCTCATACTTTGAAATTTATCAGTGTCATCTTGAAAACTTATTGAGTATTCACATAAAAAAAAAGTTTATTAAATAAATAATAAAAAAATTTCCTGAAGTATAATTACCAACAACTTCTGGCCACACAAAAATAAATTTACACTTAAAACTAAGGAAAGAGGAGTAAAATAGGACAGCACAAGAATCCAATAATAAAAAACAACAATAAAAAAAACCAAATAGCTAGAATGCATGAAAACAAAAATATTTGATCGAACGTGAAGAAATATATGCGCCATTGAAACGGTGAAGACATACCAAACAAAAAAGACATGCTCAGCAGGCAACGGTAACAAGGTATAGAACATTTAGCATAGAACTTGTTATAATTTATATAATAATAAAAAAAAAAAAAAATCCGCTAATAAATATAAAAAAATAAAATGTGAGTATGTAGTTTGAGTGTTGCTGGTGATTAATGTTTGCGGAGACGGAGGTGAATCATGCGTAAGGATTAGGATGTGAAACAAACAAAATCAATAATTATAATAAATAAAAGATGAAAAAAGACGGTTTATCCCGGATGCATCGTCTATCAGCCCTCCTCAAAACCTCACTCATATAATTGTCAGAATTTTTTCTTGTACGGTTGGAACTCACCACTGGCCTGCTGGATTGCCGCACGTCTAGAGTCACTATCCGACTTATCATCGATGGCAAAGATGTCGGTCGAATGAGGCAGCGAGAGGCTGGCTCTTTTATTTTTCACGTGGGTTAGACAAGGATCAGGACTAGAATTCCAATTAAACACTTCGTACATAGACGAGGACATTCTCATATCTGTAAAAAATCACCCAACCAAAATCCTTCCTTTTATTCACGA